ATAGATGGATAGATGGATAGATGGATAGAAATATTAAACACTTAAAAATCTGACCTGAGTTATTGCTCGTCTTCCTAATCCAGGTTTCCGTCCTGCAGTCTTCCGGGGGGATTCCTAGGTAGGAAGGTAGATATTTAGGTAGGTATGTAGGTAGGTAGGAAGGTATGTATGTAGGTAGGTAGGTAGGTAGGTAGGTAGGTAGGAAGGTTGTTTTGGAAATTTGAATTTAAGTTTTAGATTTTGATTTAGATTTAGATGTTGAATTTGTAGAATTTAGTTTAAGATTTGGAGGAATTGTTGACAAGGAATTGAGAACTCGAAAATTTATTCAGAAAATGTGAAAATTTCGTTCCTATTCAAAACCTCATCAGGATAAACTCACTCACTCACTCACAGCATCATTATAAAGAAATAAAAATAAAAACAAGTTTTATTAATTTAAATTTAACTTCAGATCTAGGATCTTAATTCCATAATGTTTCTTTTATTCCGCCGCTAAGAATTAAATTTAAAACTTTGCATAAGAAGTTTATGAAGTGTTGAATTTCAGCATACGTCTTTAAACTTAAATTGCTTTTCTACAAGTTATAAAAAGTTCTAAACTGAAACCACAAATCTAATTAGTTTAAAGTGTTTAGATATACAATGTACAATGTACAACTTAATTCAGTTATACCAAGTGTACAATTTAATCGTTTTATACAATGTACAATGTACAGTTCTGTACTTCCCTAATGACCACATATATTTAGGAATGTTTAAATAATAGATTTTTTTAAAAGAAAAGTTTTAATAAGCATATTCTCCAGTGAATGTTTAGAGAAAGAATTCCCTATGTAAAATAACCCAACTGTGCAGTTTACAGAAACATACTGTACAGTGACGGTACAGTTTATAGTAATATTACTATTCTACCAACATTTGGTGTATTTGGATATAAGATATGTACAAGGATATACGATATGTACAAGGATATAAGATATGTACAGGGATATAAGATATGTACAAAGATATATGTACAAGGATATAAGATATGTACAGGTGCAAACATTACCCATTTTTATCTCAGTTATATATTCATCATTTATATTTGTCTAAAGCAAAATTACATTAAACAATATAAAAGATTACAATTTAATCACTCTTTTCTCTGGATATTGTATTTTATAATTGACAGGGTTTGCCAGAAAACAGGTGGAATACAAGACTTTTAGCATGAGTATAGTCTAATTTAATTATTCAGAGATGGTTTTCAGAAAGTTTCTTGGTCCCAGTCTAGCGTTTTTCGTTTTCTAAAATTGTGGTATGATAAAGCTCAAAATTTAATGAGACAAAAATCAGAAGACTTTTACACTAGTGGATTTTAATGGAGGGGGGGTGCTATTTGTGTAAAAAATATACCCCTTTATTATCTATTAATGTACACTGTAAGTCTGTACCGTTCTGAAAGTGTATGATTATACACCTAGGTGCTTATAGTGCCTTGGTTTGACCTATTCTATGCATTGGCTTAGATTTCGAGCTTGAATAATTTAAGGTTAGGCATAATGCATAGGAATTTGTACATACATATTTTATATGCTGGATGGAAATAGCAAAAAGAAACATGTTTTAATGTGAGGAGAGACAAAAAATTTGAATAAGAAAAGCATAAAAGATATTCGAAATAAAGATATTGAAAAAGATTAAAAATAAGAAAATTGGGGTATTTCAAAATCAACGCATATAAATTTCTTTTATAAATTAGTTATTTTGGAAGATTTTAAGCAAAAAAAATAAGAAACTTGAGAGATATACTATACAAAATTTAATCAAGAAAAGGAGACAATTTAATTAAAAGATGTTAGCGAGCAAATGGAAAATGGCAAAAAAAACTAGAGGAAGAAAATCAAGAAAAATATGTAAATGAGAGTTGGAGTGAAAAACTAGATAAAATCTGATAAAAAAGACAAAAAATTATTTAAATTCAAGAAAAATTCGGATTAAAAATAAGATGAACACATTTCAGAAATAAGAGATAGATAAAATATAAAGTGATTGACTAAAAGAAAATTATGCTAAAATTAAGTATTTTGAGTTTTGAAAAAGATAGACAAATATAAAAAGAAAGACATATATAAAAAGATAGACAAATATAAAAAGATAGACAAATATAAAAAGATAGACAAATATAAAAAGATAGACAAATATAAAAAAGATAGACATATATGAAAAGATAGACATATATAAAAAAGATAGACAAATATAAAAAGATAGACATATATATAAAGATAGACAAATATAAAAAGATAGACAAATATAAAAAAGATAGACATATATAAAAAGATAGACATATATAAAAAGATAGACAAATATAAAAAAGATAGACATATATAAAAAGATAGACATATATAAAAAAGATAGACAAATATATAAAAGAACAAATAAAAGAGAGTTCGGGTGAAAAATAGATAAAATCTTAGACAAAAAAAAACATTAAGGAAAAACAAGGAGAGAGAATTAAGATAAGATCAGATGCTAGTTCTTGATATGAACTAAATACCCTGCACGGAGAAACTATAAAAACTATTAAATTTACTTTTTATGATTTCAAATCTTTCTAGGGCAGGGGTTTCAGGGGAAAATTATTTATCACATAATTTTGTTAATTTTAGAAAAATTATATATTTTTATTTATTTTTTAGTTTGTAAATAATGTTATATTTACCTAATGTGAGTGTAAAGCAACCCAGTAGTACACCTACTGTAGTGTACATTTTCTTCCACATTTTTATCAATTTTACAAATTTCTTAAATTTAAAACCATTTTCAGAACTATTCTTGCTTCACGAGAGCTATGCTCCTGCTTTCAAGACAGTTTTGTCGTAACTGAGTAGATTTGCTCGGAGTCGAACCTGTACGGGACGGGACGGGGACTACTCTTACGGGACAGGACGGGACGGCAGCGTGAGTGGCTCGGCACGCTCCGCCTGGGTGTTCCTTAAAGACATGTCTTGGACATTACCATTCTATTAGTAGTAGGACATGAACTATTGGTATTTTAAGATTCATTGATACAGAGATACAATACAGA